GTGGGGACTATGTAATACTATGTGGAAACATGTAGAACTGTGTGGGGCCATGTGGGGACCATGTGGGGCCCGTGTCGGGGCCACTAAGGCCATGTGGGCCGCCGTCTCAGCAGGAAGCCCCATGGTGCTTGCCTCAGTCTCTCCAAGCCCGCGGCTATGCAGAAGGGTTGGTGCTGGGCTCTGAGGTGGGGTGACTGGCTTCCAAGTTACATTTGCAACCCTTGGCCACGGCAGAGGTGGAGGATGTGATGGGGCCCAGGGCCCAAGTAGCTCCTTGAGTCTGCAGGCATGGCTGAGGGAGCTCCCTGTCCTGGGAGACTCATGGAGGGGCTGGCATCTTCCCTACCTTTGGGGCCTGAATCTGCCCAGACACCGCCTCCCGAGAGCCCTCTGTGATTGCCTCCTTCCCCTCAGGGTTAACTTCTGAAACCCGCTGCCTGGTTACTGAGTGTCCCCACCCCCCCATCCAGAGCTCCCTGGATTGGACTCCCTGGGCTGTGGGGACCTTGGTCGGGGGGTGTGGGCAGGAAGGCGGGGCTCGCTGACACTCAGTGATGATAGCACTGAGCACTTGGTGTGGAGCTACCTGGCAGCTGGAAACCCTGGCCCTGAAGCAGTGCAGAGGGGGCTGGACCCCGCCCCCATGGGCCACAGTGGAGGTGGCACTACCTCTGGGGTGGGGGTCACTGACAACGTGTGCCCTGCGGTCTGCCTGGAGCCCCGGAGAGCACGAGATGGGAACAGAGACCCCGAGACCCTCCTCACGGCCTCGTGTGGGCATGGCATGAGCCCTCCATCTGGGTCCTGGCTGCGTGTGGGGGTGCGTGGGCTCCGGGTGTCCCTGCACTGTCGGGCAGAGGCTGCCCCACCTGGGATGAGGGTGTGGGGGGAGGGGCCGCAGACCCTGAGGGGGCGCAGGGTGGGGAGGGTCTTTGGAGTGGCGGAAGCCCAGTGTGCACAGCCGTGGGCTTAGACTGAGGCAAGTACCATGGGGCTTCCTGCAGAGCTGAAATCTGGGGCCGGCCCGTGGGCAGTGTGGGGGTGGCCACATGTCCCCGGGGAGGCCCTGCCCCATGCCGGCGACAGGAGGGCCTGGGCTGCAGAGACCCCTGCAGGGTGCCTGGTTCTCCCCCCAAGCCCTGACACTTGTCCCTTTGAGCTGCCTCAGCTCCGAGGGGTCGGGTCACTGGGGGTGTGAGGACCAGTGTGGGCCTGGGCTGGACCTGGAGGGCACGTCTGGTCTCTGCCCGGGACAGCCTGAGAGAGAGCGCAGGGTGGACCTGGCACCTTGCTGGAGTCCCGACAGACCCCCTCCCACCTGGTCTGGCCCAGGTGCTTTCCTGGGTGCCACCCTGGAGGTGGCAGTTACACCCTGGGGCGAGGATCAGTATGGCCTCCTGGGGGTCCTGGTTGGCAGCAGCTGAGCCCAGGGCGGACCCTCCTGCCTTCCCTGGTTCCAGTGCCAGGCTAGGCGTGAACCCAGGCTGCAGCCACAGCTCTCCCTGGGCACAGTGGGCACCTGGACCGCCGGGGGCTGGCACTGCAGCAGGACAGGTCAGGCCTCGGTGCCAAGCTGTGGGTGCAGAGGCCCACCTGGTGACTGACGTGGAACATCCCAGACCTCCAGCCACCATTCTGCTGCCGGCCTCACTGGCCCTGGGCTTGCTGTCCAGGGCTGCTGTCCTACACGAGCGCCAGAGGGTGACAGGCCATCCCTGGGGTGGGGAAGGTTCTGTGTGTGTGTGTGTGTGTGTGGTGGGGGGCTGTTGGCCAGCAGAGGTGCATAGACAGGGATCAGGTGCGTGACCGTTGAGTGCTGCTGGATCTTGGGACCAAGATCTGTGAGGGACTCTGGTGTTTCCCGATGGCCCCCAGCTCAGGATGCTGAACCATCGTGACTTCTACTGCAAGTGCCGGCCACCCAGAGTCCCTCTGCACTGTGTCCTCTGGCGGGCGGGCAGGGACGGGAGCGCTGGCCCCCAGCAGGCTGGACCCTGTGAGTAGGGTGGGGCGGGTGCCTAGGTGCGGGCAGACTGGCCGGGCTCCCTGGCCCGGGAGGTTCCAGGAACAGCGCCTGCCGGCTGAAAATAGACTTCTCCGAAGGGCTGGCCCTGGCCAGGACAGCAGGTGCCCCCAGGCTGGCCTCAGCCCATCCCTCAGGCCAGGGAGGCGGGCCCAGTGCCCCGGGGGGGGCCCAGCAGGAGGGGAGGCGTCCGAGAGAGGCTGGCTCAGCCCCTCCCGTTGTCCCTGTGGCAGGTGGTGGGGATTCTCGGGAACAGGGAGACTGAACATGTCGCCACCCCACGGTTCCAGGACCCCCACTTTACTCTGGGTGAGGCTGGCCTTGGGGGCCATGCCCGTGGCCCCTGCACCATCTGCCCTCCCCCTCCTCGGGATGGAGAGGAAAGGGGTCCATGTGCCCCAGACAAGCCAGGCCCGCGGGAAGCTGGGCAGGCCCTGAGGAATGTGCTGGCAGATGGTCCCCCATGGGGACAGCTGAAGCCCAGGCACTGCCCAGGGCCTCTGGGATCCAGCGCCCGCTGTGGCCTTCCCATCTGCTCTGGGCACGGACAGAGCTGGCGATGATGGCAGTCTGCATTTGGGGGCCCTCAAGTCTGTGCTGCATTTTTTTGATGTTTTGGGTCACACCCGACGATGCTCAGGGGTTACTCCTGGCTCTGAACTCAGGAATTACTCCTGATGGTGCTCAGGGGACCCTATGGGATGCTGGGAATCGAACCTGGGTCATCTGCGTGGAAGGCAAACGCCCTGCCCGACCCACTGTGCTATCTTTCCAGCCCCTGTGAGGGGTCTGTGCTTGAGAGCCTGTGTGTGTGTGTGTGTGTGTGTGTGTGTGTGTGTGTGTGTGTGTTCATATGCCGGGTGTACACATGCGTGTGTGCATGTGCCAGTGCTGTGTGGGCCCCCGCATGCCTGTGTCGTGTGCCCGTAGCCTGTGTGTGCACCCGTGTGCGAGAGCTCCCGACTCTGAGGCCAGCAGCAGCCGCACAGGCCGTGGGGTGCTGGGGCAGTCGAGGGGTTCCCTTGTGAGGCTGGAGAGCTGGAAGAGCGGCAGGGGGGGCTCCCCTCTATCTGGGGGAAGTGGGGCTTGGGCCAGTGGTGGTCAGCGGCCTCCCCCCTGCTCTTGCATTTCCCCTTCCTCCACCGCTTCCTCTGGGCAGCCTCCGGCCCTTTGTTCACGCCTGGTTATATTTAGGCGACAGGTGTGGGCAGCGCTGGCCTGGCTCCAGGCTCTGTGCGGGGGCGTGCCGGGCACCCCACCCGGCCCAAACCAGCCCCTCCTGCTGGACGCTGCCCTCCCTGCCTGGGCCTGGACTCCTGCATGACTCGGGGTGGCTTAAACAGGCCAGCCTTCTCCCCTGTAAACGGGGACTGCCTGCCCCCTCGCTCCCTGTGACCCTGTGGGCAGCTGGACGGGGCCCAGTGCCTTGCGGGGCCCAGTAAGCCTGGGGTCCCAGGACAGGCCTGAGCAACCTCTGGGTGGGCGGGCAGTGGGCAGTGGGACGGACTGTGGTAGCCGTGCTGGGTACTCTGTAGAGCTGGCCGTGGGCCATGAGCCGCGTGGGCGCCTGGGGCAGGATGTGGGCGTCGCTTTGCTCTCCATGGATGGGGACACAAGCCAAGACTGTAGGCCAGCCTCAGCCCCACCTTGATACAGACCCCTGACCCCAGGCCAATTGCTGCACCACGTGACTCCTTCAGACACTGGTCAGGGTTCTGGCGCTCTGTCCAGTGACCCTCCACCCCGGGCAGCAGCTAGGGCCTCAGGCACACAATTGTGGTCCCATTTTCCTGGCTCAGGTGGTGAGGGTGTGCTGACCGAGCCCCAGGAGTTTTTGCTGGGCACATACAAATGTGCGTGTTGATGTGTGCACGCAAAAACACGTGCACACCCATGCACATAAAAAGTACAAACACGGATACATGCAAGCGCGCACATATAGACAGATATGAACAAACTCGTGCTCCCTTGGTGCCGCCCCTCCCCCAGCCTGGCTCTCCCGCTCATTCCCACTCACGCCAACCCTCCACCCTCCTAGGCTGGACTCCCTCGGCCTTTGTCTCGCTGCCCAGGACCCCCGGCGGGTGGTGCTCAGGGGACACCTTCTGGCAGGCAGCTGGGGTGGAGGCCCTCACCCCACCTGCTGCAGATGGGGAAGCAGGCCTAGATGGCCCTTGTGGGGTGTCTGCTCCCTGGGCGTCGAGAGGAGTGTCAGATGGAGGGAGCACCCGCTCCTTGCCCCCTGCCCGGGGTGGGAGGGACTCTGAACTGGGTGGGGGTGTCGCTCACCCGACTGCATCCTGGGCTCAGCCTCCATGCCTGGACCCTGTTCCCGGCCAACCCAGAGGCCCACGCCCGGGGTTCCACGGAAGCACGACTTTGCCATGACAGTGTGGGGTAGGGGGCAGGTCTGGGTTGGGGTTCAGGCCTCTGTGGCCACAGCTGGAGCCTGAGTCCGTGCATTGGGGCTCAGTGTGGCCCCCGGGGATGACCGTCCCTCTGCCTGCCTGCCTGGTGACCCCTCCTCTGTGCCTCTCCCTCCCCACAGAGCTGCTGAGGGTTGATGGAGCAGGTGTGGGGGCGCAGCGTGGAGCTCTGCTGAGTCCCCGTGTCCTGGCCTGCCTATGGCCTCTGCTGCCCGCCCGGACTCCCTGTTCCCCATGGGGTAACGTGACGGTGGTACCCCTGCACGTCGACTGCGCCCCACCCCTGCCCTGCGCTGCTGCTGGCTGCCTTGCAGTTTCCTGGTCCTCGAGCCTTGGACACTGAGCACGGGGGCTAGTGCCCACGCCTGATGTGCAGAGAGTGCCCCGGCTGCAGACCCCGCGCCGCAGCCCCCCGCCCCGCGGCCCCTCCCTCTCCGCTTGCCGGCTGACTCGCTTGCTGCCCGCCCCGGCAGCCCCGCACCCAGGCGCTTTCCCGGGTAGGAGCAGAGCAGGGCTGCGGCGCCCAACCTGAGCGCCCGCTCAGCGTCAGTGGGGGGACTGGCTACCTCGGAGGAGCGTCTCCTGGGCGGGGAGCGGCCCCGGGACCCGGTGGCGGCCCCCGCGAGTGTCCCCGCGAGTGCCCCGGCACCCCGAGGGCCCCGCAGCACGATGGCGCGCATGAACCGGCCGGCGCCCGTGGAGCTCAACTACAAGAACATGCGCTTCCTCATCACCCACAACCCCACCGACGCCACCCTCAGCAACTTCCTGGAGGTGAGGCGGGCATGGGTGCTGGGCTGAGCCCGGGGGAGGCCGGCGTGGGCGCTGGGCTGTCCCCGGGGAGGAGGCTGGGCACGGGCGCTGGGCTGTGCCCGGGGGACACGCCGGGCATGGGTGGTGGGCTATGCCCGTTGCTCCCTTGGGGCCCCAGCTCGTCCTGCTGCCCTCGAGGACCTGGAGTGCGGCCCCTGCAGCTGTGGGCACTGACAGGCAGTGCTTGGGCCAGTGGGGCAGGTGAGGGCGAGAACCCGCCCAGCATGTGCCTGCCCACGCGCGCGCGGGCACATTCCTGCGGCGCCCAGAATAGCTTGAGCAGGTGGGGGTGCCCGGCACGCGGCCCCCTGGGGCGCCCCTATAAATAGCTGGGCCTGACCTTCCCGCCTGTGGTCGCCCGGGGGTGGGCGGGGCCCTCTTGTGGGCTCAGGGATGCTGGGGGCGGACCTGAGCTGGCCCCCCTTGCCTTTCCCCAGGACCTGAGGCGGTACGGGGCCACCACCGTGGTGCGCGTGTGCGAGGTGACATATGACAAGGCCACCCTGGAGAAGGACGGCATCACCGTGGTGGTGAGGGCGGGGCGCAGCCACGTGGGGACAGGGCTCACGTGGGGGCAGGAGTCACGTGGGGCAGGGAGGGGGCGGGGCAGAAGTCACATGGGACATTGAGAAGGGGCGGGGCAGGACTCACGTGGGGGCAGGGAGAAGGGCGGGGCGGGTGTCAGTGGGGGTAGGGAGAAGGGGCGGGAATCACATGGGGCAGAAAGGGGTGGGGCAGGAGTCACATGGGACAGGGAGAAGGGGCAGGGCAGGAGTCACGCGGGCAGGGAGAAGGGGTGGGGCAGGGGGCAGTCGTGGACCCTCTCTGCCAGTGGTGCCCTGCGGGGCCAGATCTGCATCACCTTGGGGATGCCAGGCTGGGCAGCTATGGCTGCTGGGTGGGGCTGGGGAACAGCAGATAGTCCTGTCCCTCCCTGGGGCGCGCCTGAGGCCCTGAGCCACTGTCCAGCAGCGGGGACCGTGCGGGGAGGCGGGGGGGCCGGGCGCAGACGTCGGCCCCTCACACAGCCTCACTTCCTCTGGCCGTGGCTGAGCGGGGTGGGGACGTGGAGGGTGACGGCCGGGCCCCCCGCAGCGTGGGGTGCGGAGACGCGGTGCGAGGGCCACCCTGGAAGGCTTTCCGCAGGCGGGGTGCCCTCACGGCTGCTCCTGTCCCCAGGACTGGCCGTTCGACGACGGCGCGCCCCCGCCCGGCAAGGTGGTGGACGACTGGCTGAGCCTGCTGCGGGCCAAGTTCTGCGAGGACCCGGGCAGCTGCGTGGCGGTGCACTGCGTGGCCGGCCTGGGGCGGTGCGTGCGGGCCACAAGCGGGGCCGGGGGCCGGGCCGCAGGAGCGGGCGGGGGGCTCGCTGACCGCGCTGTCCCGCAGGGCCCCGGTGCTGGTGGCTCTGGCCCTCATCGAGAGCGGGATGAAGTATGAGGATGCCATCCAGTTCATCCGGCAGTGAGTGGGGGGCGCGCCCCATAGTGGACACACCCACAGCCCCCCAGGCCGCCCCTGCTGGACGCGGGGGTGGGCCCGGCGAGGGTCCCACCTGCCCAGCGTTCCCGGGAAGAAGTTGGGGTGGGGTGGGGTGGGGGGGCAGGCGGGCGGCCCCGTTACCTCTCCTGACCCCGGCCAGGCTGTGCCGTGACTCCCCCAGGCCTGGGCGGGGGTGCCGGATGCAGAGGCCAGAGGTCGGCTCAGAGACTGGGAACCACTGGCCTGGGTTGGCCCCGTGGAGGAGCCCCCCTTGGACCCTGTACCCAGGCCTGGCTGAGCCCTGGGCGCGGGAGGGCCCACGCTGGCTGGCGGCCCCTCGGGCCGGGGTCCCGGCTGACGCCCCCACCCTCCGCTGTCGCAGGAAGCGGCGCGGTGCCATCAACAGCAAACAGCTGAGCTACCTGGAGCAGTACCGGCCGCGGCGCAGGCTGCGCTTCCCGGACCCCGCGCGCAAGGCCCGCTGCCGCCTCATGTAGCGGCCACGCCGCCGGCCACGTGCCCGGCCACCCTGCAGTCCCCGCGCCTGTCTGCGCCCCGCGCCCCTGTCTGCGCCCCGCGCCCCGCCCCGCACTCTTTGCCGGCCCCGCGCCCCGTCCGCGCCCGTCCCGTCCACCCTGCCGGCCCCGCGCCCTGTCCGCCCCGCGCTTGTCCGCCCTGCAGTCTCCGCTCCTCCCCTGCGCCCTGCGCGGTCCAGTGCCTGCCCGCTCCTCCCAGGAGGCGGGGTGGTGCATTTTTTCGTCACCGCCCCATCCCCTGCTGCCCTCAGTACACACAAACATTTGGGGGCCTGGGGGCATCAGAGCTCTGGACCCTCGGAGGCAATAAATAAGACCGTGACTGCATTTGGAGTGTGGGGAGCCGGGCGTGGGGGGTGCGCAGCGAGGGCCCGCTCTGGGTTGTGGGGTGCAGGTCGGGGCAGGGCTCCCTGGGAACTGCAGGCTGTGTGCCCTGGTCCCCATGAACGGAGGGCCAGGAGGGTGGTGGGGGTGTGGAAGGCAGGCCTGTCCTGGGCTGCCCAGGGCCCGCTGTCCTGCTGCGACTCCCCTGCCCCGAGACCCACCTGCACCCAGAGGCAGCCCCAGGGAAACTGAGACTGATGGGTAGCGGGGCGAGGGGGCTGCATGCACCTCCCAGGGTGCCCAGCCTTGCCTCCACTCACCTATGCAGCCAGTTCTGGGGTCCCTCTTCTGCCCCAATGCCGGCCTGGGAACGGCCCCATCCCCCGAGTCCCTGAGACTGTCCCCCTGAATGGCCAGTGGGCTGCCTGCTCTCTGGGGAGGCATTCTTGCAAGCGCTTTTTGGACTGGCCCTGGAGGGTGGTGGCAGTGCCTCGAGCTGACCGCTGGGACACCTTCTGGAATCTAGATCTTTATTTAATGGAAAAGCCTTGAGCAGTGGGTTGTCCCGAGGGCCGGAGGGGCAGTGGGCGCTCACCGCTGCCAGGGGCCTGCCGTCTTCTTCAAGAAGGCCAGCTGCCGGCGGGCAAATGCCCGGATGCCCGGCTCGTCGTGGCTCTCCAGGTCCTCAAACGCTGGGGGTGGGGGGGGGGCGCCTCGAAAGTCAGCCACACACCTCCCTGCGCCCCAGCCCGACCCCAGGCGGTGGGGGTCCCGCTCTCCCTGCTGGGCCCGGAGACTGGGGGTGGTCCGCCTTACTGTGGAGCAGTAGGTTGGTGGCCTCGTTGTTCAGCAGCGGGGACATGGCCTGGGGATGGTAGCAGGCGGCGTAGCCTGCGGGCAGACGGGGCGCTGGCCAGCGGGGGCTCGGCGGGAGGGTCCCGGCGCCCCCGCCCGCGGCCCGCGCCCTGCGCACCTATGAGCAGGGCAGCCCAGGTGCGGATGCGGCCGTGGCGGCTGCGCAGGGCGCCAAGGGCCTGCGTCGTGTGCACGCGGAAGTCCTCCGGGCACCGCATCTGCGGGACAGTGTCAGCGGGTGCCCGCACCCGGCCCCGCCGCCCCCCACCTAGCCCGCCTCACCAGGTAGGTCCAGAGGAAGTGGCGGGCGCTGGGCCCGCGCCCCCAGGCCAGCGCGCAGAAGAGCGTGTGAGGGAGCCGCCAGCGCAGGCGCAGGGCGCAGCGGTAGAAGGTGAACTTGGCCTGCTGCGGGGACACGGGCGGTCACCTGTGCGGCGACCGGTGTGCCCCGAGAGAGAGACCCGCCCGGGACGCACCGCCCGGCTCCCACGGCACTGACCGTGGCCACGGCTGGGCTGGGGTCCTTCAGGTGCAGGAGCAAAGGCACCAGGCTCAGGTGCACCTGGGCACCCAGGCTCTCTGGGCCCCCACTCTCTGTCGCGGCCACCAGGTCCCCGAACAGGGCCATGGCCGCGGCCCGGATCTCGTCCCGCTCCTGCAAGGAAGAGCCTCAGACTCTGGCCAACCTGGGGGCACAGTCCCACCCAGCAGGGAGTGCCCACTGCCATCCTATCACAGTGGCCCAGTTTCCCTAGCAGAGCCTTCTCCATCAGACAGGCTCAGTACAGGGCTCTGCCCAACAGCCGGGCATCCAGGGTGGGTAGATGTGTCCTCCATCAGCAGGGCTCCTAGGACAGGGTCTCCACCATTTGACAGGGCTTTCAGGGTGGAGCTTCCACCGTCAGACGGGACTTCCGTGACAGGGCCTCCACCATCAGACTAAGTTACGGGGGCAAGGTCTCCCTCATCAGACAGGACTCCCTGGCAGGGCCACAGCGTGCTTACATGGTCGAAGAAGGAGCGGGTGTTGAGGGCCACCTCCAAGCTCAGGGGCCCGGCGCCGTGGCCGCCCAGGCGGTGCAGCACGCTGGACATGGTGCCCATGACGCGCACCACGGCCGACTCGCTGTTCTGGCAGAGGCCGCCCAGGAAGTGTGGCAGTTGGCCGCGGAGAAGACTTTCCTGGGGCGGCGGGGGCAGGTGGGTGCCAGCACTCAGCCTGGGTGCCCTGCCCAGGCTCTGCTCGCAGGACCCTGGTGTGCCTGGTCAGGGCTTCCCGTGCTGCCCCCTGCAAGCCCCTGGGGGTGCCCTGTGCTGTCTGCTGCCCCTCACCCAGCTTTCTCGGGGCTCACGGGGACGGGTGGGAACATCATGTAGGTGAGTCTGCGCAGCGCCAACCAGGCTCGCCAGCTGCCGTTGGGCAGCTGTGACAGGCACTGGGAGGGCTTCTCTCCCTCCCCCGTGCCCCTCCCTTCCCCCCGAATCTCCCTCCCCCTCCCATCCTCTGCTCCCCACTCTTCCCTTCTCTTTTCCTCCCTCCCTTTGCCTCTCTCCCCTCTACTTTTCCTTCTCTCCCTCCTCCCAATCCCTCTCTACCTCTCTCCTCACCCCGTCTCCCCCCTCTTCTTTCCCCCCTCTCTCCCTCCCCCCATCCTCTTCTCTCTGCCCCCGCCCCCCGTGAACTTGTTCCTGCTTTCCACTGATGGCATTTAAGGGACTCCTTTGTATTTCTCTTCTGCAAGTGTTTCGCTGGCATTGCGGGGTATCAGGAGACCCCTGCCCTTTGCCCCTTTCCTCAGGACCCCGTGGTGCCCTCAGTCTGAGATCTGCCAAGTGCCGCTGTTGGCTCCTGGAGCTGCTCGGAGCTCCTCCCGGGCCCCAGGTTCCATGGGAAGAGCTCGTCCTGCCATGGCCTTGCCCCTCCTCACCTGTGACTCTTAGCAGCCACCCCCGGCCCATCGACCATGCCCGGAATGCCGAGCTGTGACTGCCACGGCAGTGCTGGGGATGCCTCACTCAGGCCCCTGCTGGCGTGGGTCGTGCTGCTCTGTCTGGAGCCCAGGGGCCCTGCCCAGGGGCTTGCGGGGTGCTGTGGGGTTATGTGTGCGGGGATGCCCCCACTCCAGGCTCCTGTGCTGTGGGCTGTAGCTCACGGCGCTTTGGTTTGCCTCCCAGGCTTCTGACCATGGGCAGCTCCGAGAGCACTCATGCGGCCCTCCTGTTGAGGCGGCTGGAGGGGATGCACCCCTGCCCTGAATTTCATCCGCTGGTGGGTTTGGCAAGCTGGCCCTAGTGCCCTTTTCCTGGAAGACTCCTCTGTGGTGCGGCCACCAGTGGGCACCAGTGCCCCTCACACTGCCTACAGTGCCACGGGGGGGGGGGGGGGGGGTGCGCCAGTGCCCTGCATTGCCTGCAGTGCCGCCACAAGGAGGCGCCAGTGCCCCACACACTGCCTGCACTATAGGGGGGTTGCCAATGTCCCGCACACTGCTGCAGTACCGCCACCAGGGGGTGCCAGTGTCCCACAGACAACCCGCAGTACCACCACCAGGGGGCGCACAGACAACCCACAGTATGACCACCAGGGGACGCCAGTGCCTGGCCCCTTCTCCGACCCCACCCAGGCCTGCACTCACCTTCTCCGGGTGGAAGAGTATGTGGCCAAGCCCCTGCAGGCCCCACACGCGCACCTCGGGGCTGGGGTCCTGCAGGCTTTGCGACAGCAGCGTCAGGGCGTCCTGCTCGGACAGCACGTCCAGCAGGGCAGGGCTGTAGAGGAACTGGGCGTCCAGGGCAGCGGGTGAGGCCCAGGCGGTTGTGTGCAGGGGTGCGGCCCCGGGGGCTTCTCCGGATTGGCTGCATGAGCTCAGGGCCTGTCGTTCCCACTGTGAGTTCTGGGTCGTTTCAAGAGAACTTGTGCACAGAAGATTGACCCGCCCATCTGGTCTCCCTGTGTGAGTCCTGCCCCGGGACCCCCTTCCCCCGAGTCCTTCTGGGTCTGACGGGGTGACCTGGGGTCTTCCATGCTCCCTTCCTGCTCTTGACCCCACTCCTGGGTCTGCGTGAGATCACGGGGCCCCCACAGGGCTTTTGCCCGCCAGAGGACCCTGTGGGCCCCCAAAGCTTCAGGTGCCTCTGGACAGACTCATCACCGTCCTGGGGACTGAGTGGGCAACAGCATGGGCCCCCAGGAAACCACGGCTGGTCAGATGTGCCATCTGCCCCAGTGTGGCCACGCCAGGGTCCCAGGGGCAGGCACCCGGGCTGACGGCCCACGGCCCACTCCAAGCTCCCAGCCTCCCTGGTGAGCGCCGCCCAGCCGAGCCCGGTTACCTCCCCGAGGATCAGCACGGCCACCTCCCGCTCCCGCCGCTCCCAGCTGCTCAGGGCGGGCAACAGCTGGCACAGCACGGCTCTGATCTGGTCACAGTGGTCCTGCACCATGGCCCTGCGGGAGGGCAGCGGCCCTGCTCACCCTGTCGCCACCCTGGGATGCAGGGGTCTGCTCCCTGCCCTCGGTGGCTGCCCACTTGGGCCAGGGACCTGGACCAAGGGGGTCTCGGGTGGGTTGGGGGCGTGCCCTGGGCAGCGGGCCCACCTGGCGAGCAGGCCCACGCCCTGCGGGTAGCTATGTGGCTCAGTCAGCAGCGTCCAGGCGCCCTGCAGCTCCAGCTGTGCGAAGTCCCGCCAGTGGCCGGTGGTGGACAGCAGGCTCTTGAGGGCCTCCAGGGCCGTGCTGCAGGGGGAGAGTCGGCCTCGTGGGTGGGCGGAGGGGCAGCGGGCGGGTGCGGCCTTGGAGGGTGCCCTTGGAGTAGGGCCGCGTGGCACCGCATGCCAGGCCGTCCCTTCACAGAGCATGGTCTCCCGGAACATCTTTAAAAACACTTTCTGAAGGTGAGGGGCTGCACAGGACAGCGCCCCACCCAGGTGAGATCCCGGCACCCAAGCCTGCCAGGAGTGACCCTAGTGCAGAGCCTGAAATAAATCCTGAGCACTGCTGAGTGTGGCCCCCAGACAAACAGAAAAAAAGTAAAAAAGTTGAATCAGCGAATTGCAGCTATTTATGACTGTCAGGCCAACAGTGTCCCAGGCGCCCACCCGCCCCCGCTGGTCTCTGTTTCCTTCTCTTTTTCCATTTTTGGGTTTAGCCGACTCTCGCTGGCAGGGTGTGCTGTGGGCCACCTTCCCCCTCGGCACCTAGTCCTGGCCCAGAGTGACCTCTCTGCCCCACCATCGCTGTGACTCAGGCGTCACTGTGGGACTTTGGACACCGGGTCTGGGGCGCCCACACACCCCAACTCCCAGCTGCCATCAGAGGCAACCCACGGCCAGACTTCTCCCAGTCCTGGCCCCCTGGACAGGCGGGTCACGTTATCTGCATCCTTGCCACTGTCCTGCCGTGCTGCCCATGGGCCCATCAGCCCGGTGGGACACTGCAAACAGCTCCTGACTGGGGACGGACGCTTCCGGGCAGATCCGTGAAGCAAGTGTCAGCTGAGGAGTCACTGTGATGGTCCTGGTGGCCTCAGACCACAGTTTCTAGCTCACAGGACCCCGCTAGAGGACAGCAGCTGGTAGGACCCTGTGCCTTTAGCTGTGGGCAGTGTGGACAATGTGATGTGTGCTAGCTCACATGTCAACTTCCATGGAGGCGGCACACCTGGCAGTGCTCGGGGCTTACCCCTGGCTCTACACTCGGGGATCACTGCTTCTGGCGGGCTCAGGGACCACATGGGATGCTGGGGATCAAACCCTGGCCTGCCACGTGCAAGGCAACCTCTTTATTGTTTCTAACTGTGGGCAGCGATGTGGCTATCCACACTCAGTCACTCTGGAACCTTCTACTGTAGAAGGTTCCAGAGCAACTCCTATCCAGGCCCTGCACAGGAGACACTAGCGTCTCCGCCAGCTCAGCCCTGAGCCACCTACTTCGAACTCCACATGGATGGATGGATGGGTAGATGGATGGGATGACAGATGTGCCCTACCCACCTTGGCCAGGTGGTTTGGCTTAGGAGTGGCCTTGTGACCTACGGCTGGCCCATCCGAGCTAGGACCATGCCCGGGAGGGGGTGGGTACTGGTTTGTCAGGGGAGCCGCTCCCCTGGGGTGCAGAGTGCCGCAGGGGGCCGGCAGGGCTCACAAGGGTTATTTGGGAGAGGGGCGGAGGCCACCAGCCGAAATTCCAGCAATGAACTAGGGGCCCCGGCCAGGCCCTGGGCAGTTGGGCACCAGCAGGAGGCAGGATACGGGTCTGGGCGTCTGTCTTGGCTCTGATCTCAGTGGGAGCCCAGAACAGGGACCCAACATGGGCTGAGTAACCCCTGGGATCCCCAGGGGCTTTGCTTGCACGGGGCTGGGGGTGTCCCTTGAGCTGGGAGGAGGGCCGAGAGGGTGTGGGGAGGGGGCACAGCCTTGCTCTCAGCTCTCCCAGACCCGTGCGTCTGGGATAAGGAGGTTTTATTAGCTTATTAGGGAAGATGTATGCATTTTGCATGGTTGATCTGAATTTAAAAAAAAAAAAGAGAGAACTTTATGTCCATTCACATTCAGAAGCAATAGGAGAGGAAATGACATTTTTTCCCAGTGACACGCCCTGGGGAGAGCTGTCAGAGCTGAGGGATGGCGTGGAGCAACATGGTCATCAAACAAACGGGGTGCAGCGGGCCTCTGCAGGGGTGCATGGAAGGCTGAGCCCCCGTCTCTGGGACCACAGCTGCCCCGTCTGAGATGGGCCCTGCAGGCAAGATGGGTGTCCACAGCGAGGCCTCGAGGCCAGTGTCACTGAGCAGGCTGCCCGTGGCCGACACACTGCCTCGGTCACCCCTTACAGTGGCCCTGGGCACATGGAGGCTGGGACAGAATGGGGGCTGGAATCCTCAGAGATGGAATCTCGGGGGCAGGGCTGTCCAGGAGAGGGACCCCCCCGGGGGCTAGAACCCCCCACGAGGCCCCCCGGCAGCAGGCAGCCCCTACCTCTGGGGGCTGGAGGCAGGCCCCTCTGGCGGGGCCTGGGCCTCCGGCAGGTCCAGCTCCAGGATGTAGCGGATCTGGGTGAGCAGCGCCAGGAAGAGGCGGGGGAAGGCCTCGCGCACTGCGTGCCTGAACTCGCGGGCAAATTGCAGCTCCTGGAGCGTCACCATGGCCTGGGGGGCCGGGGGGATGTTGAGGCTTGGGACTGCCGCCAGCGCCCCCCCCCCACCCAACCGGCCGCCAGCTGTGGTGGACTCACGGCCAGCGAGCGCAGGTAGGTCTTCTGGGCTGGGGCGCTGGCTGCGGCGGGCAGGGCTCGGTCCAGCAGGCGGTCCAGCAGCGTGGCCAGCACGCGGCGGCTCAGGGGCTGCTCGGCCCCCAGGGCCCTCCAGGACCGGAAGGCGTGGCTGTGTGGGGGGGGGGGACAGGGACTGTTGGTTCTCCAGCGGTGGGCGCGGCGAACCCATGACAGCGGGGGTGCAGGGGGGCTCGGCTGGGGTGCAGGGCCTGTCTGAGAGGAACCCCAGCCCCTTCGTGCCCTCTCGAGAGCCTCGGGAGAGGCAGTGGCGGCCAGGGCCAGGCTTCTGGGGGCGCGGAAGGGAGCACAGAGCATTTTCCAAGGAGAGCTACTTTGTGCTCTGGCAGACACTTGTGCTTTTGTCCAGCCTCCAGGGCTCAGCTGTGGGCTTTGTGGTGGCTCTTGTCAGCACCCGCCCAAGTTGTGCTACTTCATCTTTCCAGAACCAGAAGCTGCTGCGGGTGAGACCCCGCTTAGACACGTGTGCACGGCCCGAGCCACCCTGAGGGGCACCTCGCCTCGACAGTACCCCAGGCTGTCTCAGCGCCACAGGGGGTGACTGCAGAGCTACACAGAGAACAAGGCACCTGTGCCATGGCTCTTGGCGTGGGGACGAGGTGCGGCCACCGGTGGCATCACATTCCTAAAAGGAACCCAGGAGTCCTGGAGCTGGTGCAGCCGGAGGCTCTGTGCCCGGCAGTGCAGGGGATGCAGGGATGACCCAGCGCAGAGGCACGAGGCACCAGCGCAGCCCGAGAATTGGGGCTGTGACCACCACTGTCCTCATTGCTCAAGAAGGGGGAAGAAAATGACCCAAATCAGGACCTCAGATTCTGTCCCCCACTTGAGTGTCATTAGCACTGTAGCACTGTCCTCCCATTGTTCATCGATTTGCTTGAGTGGGCCCAGTAACGTCTCCATTTGTGAGACTTGTTGATACTGTGTTTGGCATATCCAATACGTCACGGGGAGCTTGCCAGGCTTTGCTGTGTGGGCGAGATCCTCTCGGTAGCTTGCCGGGCTCTCCGAGAGGGGCAGAGGAATTGAACCTGACTCGGCCAGGCCGGTGGCTTGCAAGGCAAACGCCCTACCGCTGTGCTATCACTCCAGCCCGAGTGTCATTAGAAGAAGAAGAAAAAAAAAAAGACAAAACCCCCCTCCCGTCCCCGTACACAGGGCGCAGCCCCAGGGAAACGAGTGATCAGCAGGCACAGCTCAGGGCAGCAGAGCCGGGCGTGGGCAGGGGGCCCAGGCCCGGCCAACCCTCTCCCTGGAGCAGCCGCAGGAGGACCCACTCGCGCCCCCTGAACCCCCCTAAGTGACTGCGCTTGTACTTGATTAGTTAGACACAATTCCTCCAAATGCACATTGAGAAAGAAAAAGAAGCCCCAGTGGGAGACGAACTTTGAAAAATGGATAAAAATCCTTTTATCTGAGAAGTAGAACAGAGTCCAGGTACTCAGATGGATGTGGTTCCTGGGTGGCCAGGAAGGGTGGGAAGGTCGGGAGGAAGTAGCCTTGAGAGCAGGCGCTTGGGGAGACTTGGAGAGGGAGGAGAGGAAGATGGGAGAGGGAAATGACGTGTCATTTCCGCTCTGGGACATGGGGGAGGGCGGGCGCCTTGCGTGCAGCCAACCCAAGTTCAGTCCCTGGCACCACACACACATCAAACCAGAAGTGATCCCCGAGTGCAGTCAGGAGTAAGTCTTGAGAATGGCTGGTGTGCCCCCAGAGCAACACTGTGTGTATATATTTACTCCACAAGCAAGATGTTCAGCAGCGCAGGAAGTGGCCGGGAGGCAACTCTCCAATGGGAAAATTAACACGGAGTCATCAACCCGGAGATATTTCTCTGTAGAGCCATTTAGTTTAGTTCTTTTTTTCTTTTTTGGGTCACACCCGGCGATGCACAGGGGTTACTCCTGGCTCATGCACCCAGGAATTACTCCTGGCGGTGCTCGGGGGACCATATGGGATGCCGAGAATCGAACCCAGGTCAGCCGCGTACAAGGCAAACGCCCTCCCCTCTGTGCCTATTGCTCCACCCCCAGAGCCGCTTGGTTTCAATTCTGAAAATATCTTCACAGTCTCCAGGGAAGAAAGGTCAATTTACTTACCAAGGCAAAAGGGAAAAGAGAGCAGAAGTTTCAGAAACAGGACGCGAGAGACGGCTTGGAGGGCTGAGCTGAGCCCAGCAGCACTAGTCCCCTGAATGCTGCCCCCAAGCACAGAGCCACGAGTAGCCTGAGACCACCAGCTGCTGTAGCCCCAACAACAATAACCAAACCTTGAACCAGACAGCCACGGGCAGTGTTTAAAAATGGAAGCAAGCATCAGCACGCCACAGCCAGCCATGGGGGTGGGACATGGGTGGGGACGGAGAGCGCGAGTGTGAAGAGGCACAGAGGGAGGAGGAGCTCGAGGGACCCTTGGAGGAAACACAGCTTCTGCTGGAACCGAGGTGTGAAGGCACGTTGGGAGACTGGGCGACCACCAGAAGGGGCACGCACCCCACGAGTGAGACGGTCACAGCTGAGAGCATGTGGCCTGATCGGGGCAATGCGGCGAGAGTTGGGGGGGAGTGGATTGGGAGAGAAAAGGGTCGTGAGGCGCACTTGGGGGCGTCTGGAGAAGGCTTCTGCAGAGGGACGGGTTTCTGTACCCAACAAGGGCAGGGAAGGAGGGAGGCCACGTTGGAGCCCCCAACAAGCAACAGCCCTGAACACTGGAGATGGGGGGTGTTGGAGCAGCCACGAGGGGAAACACCTCC